TCGTTACTTTGCTTTCAAGGCAATGAACACTTCTGATGTTTATTTTCAAGTATGCGAGATTAAATTAGTCTAAAAATTGAAAATGGGTATACTGTGACACCAATTCAGAGAGAAAAGGTGTTTGAACTACGGTTTATCCCTGTTTATGACCTTCTTGACTTTCTCTATTCCATTTTCACTACGTTCACACAAATCACAATTATATCCTATAAAACCTCTCTTTGGTGAATACCGTTGGGACTATCAGAAAATATTCACTATGCGAGAAGTTCATTTATATGTACAGTTTACGAGAGTTCGATCAAACTAGGAAACACAGTCTCTCATTTCCCACATGACTGTTTCATCAATCTTTATCCTTCATAAAAGAGTGTTTGAGCCCTTTCGAGACAATGTAGAGTTGATTGAACTGTGAATAGTCGAATCGAACAAATCAGGAGTTTTTGTTCTTCGTTCGGGCTTTGGCTGTTATCTTCATTTTTCCTTGCTTAGCTTCACTACCACACTGATTCTTTGTATAAATGGATTACAATGAATTACAAAATGAATATAATGCACATTCTAAGCCCATGTGCAGCAATTTTCTAGCTGATATTTTTATACTGTCAATATCACTGATAAATTCTACCTATTTTAGATGAATATAATGACAATGGCTCATTCACGCATATCACGTTTTTTCACTGTTACAGGTCTATTATTCATTCTGATATACGTTTCAAGAACATACTTTCTGGCTTTTGATTCTCACCATTCAAAGCAACCCTCATTTAGATCATCGTCGTCCACTTATCATGATCTTATTGATCTTAATGTTGTAACTAACGAGACATTTCAATGTGTTAAAACTAAAATTTTATTGAACAAATATCGTACTACAGTATGTGTATATAATAAAGCACAAGACCAAGATGTAAGTGGTTTGCTCGTTTCAGCTGGTATTTGGGAAGAACCTTTGGTGACACGTATCGTACGCATTCTTTCCACCCATCGTCACTTGTCCTTTTTCGACATCGGTGCCAATCTCGGTGTATACTCAATGTATGCAGCCTCCTTAGGCTGTCCCACGGTGATTGCGGTTGAATGTTTTCGTCCTAATATTGAGCGAATCCGTCGAGCAATACAACTCGAACACGTTCAACAACGCGTTGTTCTTGTGCCTCGAGCTCTCTACAGTAAATCGGGTGTCTTTTTATCATTGCGAGCAAATATTAAAAATAATATTGGCTCACAAAGACTAAATAAAGAAGTGGCAAGGAACGAACAAGATGATCTTGTTGTACAAACCATTCGTTTCGATGATCTATTGCCGATTGTCAATGATCGAAATATTCGTGAAGCAGTGATTAAAATAGACATTGAAACATCGGAACATTTTTTGTGTGAGACAGGTATGCAGATGTTCGATCGAGTGAACATTGTATTTGTCATGATGGAGTGGGCCCTTATCAAAACCATTCCAGAAAGGGCTAGTTTAATCATGCGTTTCTTTACTGATCGTCACTATATTCCATTCAATTCGATGACATGTCGACCAGAGACTGATCGAATGAACTATACTCGGTGGCAAAATCAAGATATTTATTGGATCAAACAAAATTATACGCACTTGTGTGACATATAGATAGAATAGAAACGGAGAGACTTTAGCGTTCATCAATATTCAAGATCTGTCAAAAGATTCAAATCTGAAAATGTTGGTGTGTGAATGTTCGTATGAATCTGTGTGTTGGTAGTGAGTGTGTGAGTAGTAGATGTGAATGTAGGTGCGGGTATTGATGATGAAGACAGGATTCAAAACGTCGATAAATCTTCGTCCCTATGTATTAATTTGAAGAGTTGACACGAAAACTTGAAGCATATTTTTCTACCGTGAAAATTACGTTTTCTGCTGATAAATAAAAGGTTTTTATGACCAATGTAAACACACTCTATATATCTCCAGAAAAAAAAACATTTGCATTTCACATTTAAACTAAATTGTTACTATAAAAGCATATTTAAAAACATTGACGGTATATTCTGAGAGCACTTGGAGTTTCCTATCACCTTCTATTCCAGGCTTCAAAATGGGCCGCCTAGTATGGGTGTGGGTATGTGAAGACTAACTTACAACCACCCAAACCCCACACTCAATACTGATTAGATCCATTAGTACTCTTTAATTGAAACTACTAAACTACCAGCCTACTCACGTCACACGTATGTGGCTGTTATTGAGAACAACAAGTGATTTATTATTGACAAAACATTATATGTTCGAAGGTACATGAGAGATATTATAAAGTTTGGACCAATTTATTCTGATCTCATCTTATGGTTTTACTTGCCACTTTGATAGGACTAATTAAGATTACAGTTTTGTACTTAGCTTTATATTATGGAAACATATTTTGGTGGTGTTAACAGATTTAACGAAAATATTATCTCTCTCTATAAAACGATTAACTTATGACTCTCCCCAAGTGAGCCAAAAAAGACGTGCGAGGGGTGCGCCGAGCCCTCGACCCATCGGAAAATGGCAAACCCAGGGGTCGATTTGAAATTTCGATGGGTCCTAGGCTAGATGGTGAGTAGCTTGATAGTTAGCAGAAGCATAGGATCGAAGTTTTCGTAATATGTATTGTGGTGCTATCTGGGGCTCGAGGTCTGCCCATCGGAATTTCAAATCGACCCCTGGGTTTGCCATTTTCCGATGGGTCGAGGGCTCGGCGATGGGTATCTAAGAAGACATCGACGGTGGAAAATCGAGGGGTCGAAATGCCTATCGGATGGTCGGTTGGGTCCATTCTATTACTCCAATCGAATGGGTTTTATGACTCCTGTTTGTATGCATTTATTAGGGTGTGGGTGTGGATATTCTCTTATTCATCAACATCCACACTCTCAATATTGTCTCAAAACAACATTGTTTTTATTCTATATGTACTCTTCGAAGTGCAAAGATCGTCCTCAACATATGATCGCTTTCGACTATTCGTGCTGGAAGCCTCCTGATTCAAAAACGAATTTCTTGAGATAATTAAAGGTTGACGTGTTTACAGTAGATGTTAGAAAGTGAAGGAAAGGTTTTAAGCATAAAGCAAGATTTCGATGCCTTTTGTTTTTAATAGAAGAAAAGTTTTGGGATGAATCAATTTTTAGTAGACTTTGCTACTCGAGCCATTTTCGACGAGAATGAAAATTTCCTAACAACAATCTGTACTTTAAAATATCTATCTGACAATGTGTCAGTCTATCGATTTTTAAGTTCTCTAAAATCAAAGATTTATTGGTAATTCTTTTCCTATTTTAGAACATTTTCTATCATAACATAGTATTTTTATGAAGATTCGTCAATTTTACCATTCCATGAGCTATAAAAAGGATTTCAATGCGTCAATTGTTACTAACGCAATATTCATTCTTCTTCATCATCATCTTAGAGTTTCGGTATTTGTTTTGACTATAATTAAGTTAAACTTTATGCATTGAAAATACAATGCCGGTGAGAATCGTTATATATAAATTGTGGTTAAATGGGCAGCGCTGTGTCTAGTTGCTTCCATAGTTGTGCATCGCAATGAAATCATGATTTGGTAGAGTTATATGATAATTGTTGTGATTAATAGTGTTCTATACTAATAATCGATTATTCACCTGATCTATTGGCCATAACATCTACAGTCTCAATCACAGTTGGTAGGTGAAGTGGACTTATTCTTCTGGTAAATGATAATGATCCAGATAGCATTGCTGTAGCGAATATTATTGAATACGTCGTCAGATTCCTTCCGAGAATATAGTTCATCTTAGCTTTTCAAACATCACCAGATTAACTGCTAATGAATTTATGCCTTGAAGAACAAAGTTGATGAAATAATGCCAACAACTGTTCAAGCTCTGACGATTACATGGACGAGCCCGTATGATGTCGAATGCAACTCAATTACTTCCACTTTCATATTCGGATTTCCAGTGGATCCTTGTGTAGCAGGAATCTGTGACTGGTCTACTAACTCACTCTACTACCATTTCAATTCGACACAATCGTTCACTGATTTTAAACAACGTCCAGTCATGATGCTGGCAGGACAGAATGTTGATCAAGTCAAAGCCTTGATTGATCGAGGTATTGCATCAGATGGAACGTATCCGAATGGTTCTGCTTATCTTCTGAACACAACTGATTCTATCAGGAGTCTTCATGCCAAAATTTTTTCTTCATACATCCTAAGAAAATGATGATTCCATATATCGATATCCAAATGATGACTATCAACTAGTGCCCTGCGGTTCCTAACATTACCCGGGAACCGAACCAGAACCGTCGGTTCTGGTTCGCGAAATCGAAAAAGGAACCGACGATTTTACCGTAGCATATAAAATACCGAGTCATTGAGTTAACGGTTCCGGTTTCCGTGCCGGTTCTACCAGGTTTTTTTCACGGTTCCGGTTCCGGGTAAGAGAAACAGAAAAATCCGGTCCTCGGTTTGGTTCTCGGTTCCAATTTTTTTTGGAACCGCAGGGCTCTACTATCAACTCAATTTCAGAAACCACGAATATATTTTTCTGTTTTCAAGGTTTACGTGCCGTTATTTATATCGCAACAAATAAATATCCACAAGGTGCGGTGGCGCATCATTTGACATCATACAGTGGAATGCTCACGAATTCATCTCAGATGTGGGGTGTGGGTGTGGGTGTGAGTGAAGAGAAGATCCACAACCACACCCATACTCAACCACACCCACACCCCACACCCACACACCCACATCCACACCCACACTCACCCACACCCACACCTCACACACACCCACCTGCACCCACACCCATGAACGGAACCTTTCGACAACTAGTCTATCAGGTAGATTCTGTGTCTACAGATGTGATCTCGAAAGCATTTCCCAACAACACGCAAAACATCCATTGACCATTATGTACATTGGCCGAGATAGCCAAATCAAAGATTAAATGCAACTTGGAGCAACTTCAACCAAAATTTGTCTCAAATACCAGTCATGGAACAAACATTCCACGTTGATCTTGGTGATATTCTTCCAAAACATAAGAAACTAACATCAAATCAGAAAGCCATGTCATCGATCAAACGGCGTGCTCTACCACTTGTTCCTGCTTATTGTATTACGATACACAAGAGTCAGGGTAAAAACTTTGAATAAATTTGTGATTGATTTGAAATTGCCAAATGAAACAGATGATATTGCTGCAGTTTACGGGCCTTTGTCATAAATAAAACGTTTGAATGATCTGGTTCTTTTAAAACATTTTGGCTACAAGGTCTTTACTAACCAAACCCAGCAAATCTCAACTTGCTGAAACTGAACGACTTGATAGACTCTATTTAGAGACTCAAACACGTTTTTCCCAATGCTTTCAATAATTTTTGTGTATTTCATGAATCATCTTGTTCATATCTATTCTCTCTGTATATAAATCCTTGTTCTTACTTATTCACTCGATGTTCCATGTTGTAATACATTGTGTCTTTTTTGTATTACTTCCATCTTTTTTTTTACACTGAAATTGTTTTTTCTTCTTGCTTATAGTGAAAAATGTTATTTACTAGATACTCCGGACTTAAAAAATGAAAAAAAAATCATGGCTTTCATGAATTTTATATCAAAAATACGGAAAAAGTGGCATTTTGGATCATAAAACATACAAAAACATGTATATATTCCAAATTCATTGATTAAAATGAACATTTTCATCAATTTAATTCTATTACTTTAACCTGTAATTAAAATCACGGCATTAAATTGATGAAAATGTTCATTTTAATCAATGAATTTGAATTACAGGCAGGTTTTTGTCCGTTTCATCATTTTAATAAAATGTTTTTCACTTTTTAATTTCCTGTGGGAGGGGAGGGGGCAAGCGAGTCAACATAACAACAAGAAAATGCAATAAAAATATGAAACACAAAGAGAAATTCCGCAAAAAAGTTATCTATACTATTTAATCAATTTTATTTGCTTTATAGGCGTCTTCGTTACTACAACTCAATGGAAAAACAACATCTGATGATTTTCTAAGCCAAAACAAAATTTGAATCATCACATGCTGGACACATAACTGTCAGTTGAAAATTTCTATCGTTCTAACCCATAGAGTATAGGGAAGTTTTTTGTTAGATTCTGTATAAATGTATTTAATTCGTTTACTATTTTTGAATGAATCGAGTAAATACGACAGAGTTAAAGGTATCTGATGAAGATATTTATTGAAATATAAATCTGGATTATGACATGCTGTAGGCACCCATACCCACTCTTTAAAAAATGACTTTACATGTATCATTGTGTCGAGCAGCTTTCATGATTGCACGTTGATTGTGAACATCTAGCGCAATTGGATTTGCACCCAAAAACAAGAATTCTAATGTGAGATTTCTATGTAGCGCGTACCAAATTGACTCTAAGCTTTGGATTGTAATGTGATTATCATCAAGATAAAGATAGAGCAAATTAGTGTTTCTTCTCAATGAGTCACATAGAGCCATGCATCCTTCATCTTGAATATCATTTCTTGCCAAGAACAATCGCTGTAAGGTCAAGTTTATTCGAAGCATCTCAGCTAATGCGATAGCGCCTCGATCACCAAGCGCATTATAGGACAGACGGAGTACAGTTAAGCAATGATTGCTCTGAAGAGCCTGAGCAAGCAAGCTGGCAGCTCTTTCGTCAATTGAAATTCCACTAAGATCAAGTTCCTTTAAAGTCGACTGATCAGCAATTGCTCCAACTAGATCATATATGATAATCTTTTTATTAAATGATAAGCAAAGAACTTGCCATGTTCGATTTTGTTTTAATTCATCAGCAATTAAAGAAGTACTGTTTTTGTTCAATAAGTCAGCGTTATAGAAAAATACTGTTGCATTATTTCTATATCGTCCGATTTTTAACTGAAGTTCATTATTTTCGCAATTTATCTCATTCGTTTTATTTACTCCGTCTTGTTCTTTCCTCTCATACTCAATTATATGAAATATTTGTAGATGATTCTTGGTAAATGGAACGCTTGTAACATTAAGTCGAGTGCCTGGCATGAGCACGACCTCAGCTTCATCGTACATGGCGGAAAATTTCGATATGTCTTTGCCATTTTTGCACTCGATCGCGAAAAGTGTACCAGGAGTACCAATATATGCTTCAACAACATTGACAAACCGAGAACAGGAATTGAAACTCCACCATGTCAGTTTTGTACTTTCTGTATATGATGAACCAATGTCAGTATTGATATCTCGCCATACTGTGCCATTAATGGATGGTAGTTTTTCGAGAGCTGACATAAATAACCGAATAAAAGGAAACCAAGGTATAAGAGCTTGCCGATTTTCTTCACCTAGTGCCTTGTTTAATTTTTCGAAGAATGATGTTTGCATCGTATAGAGATAGATGGCAGCCGATTCATCGAGAGTGATTAACCTTGACGTTTGATTGCATAACTCTTTTGCGCGTAAAATTGTTTCTGTAAGACTTGGAACGAATAACTTGACAGATACCAGTGTCTGTTCGAGAGGGAGCAAAGGATAATCTAAATATCCAGATATGGGAGTTCGATTGGCAATTTCAATTTTTGTCAAACTTGAATCGATAAAACGCTGCGACATAATTAGTACTTCTTCTTTTCTTATGATGAGTGTGAACTGACTTCTTATCTTTAATAATATACTTTTATACAAAATGAAGAACAAGAAAAAGTAATCTTTGTGGATTCTTTTTCTTATTTTTTATCTGCGTTTTTTTCAGCTGATATCAGAATCTCGCATATGCACCATTGTAATGTCAAAATAGTAATAAGTTGTCATATATACGACTATTTTTATTACGATTATCTTCAATCGATTCATAATACATTCTTTTGATGATTTTTTTTTAGATATTGGAATTGTTTTTCATCACAACTGTAGGTTGGAGATTTGAATCAATCTGTCAAAACTTTCAAGTCGCTATATATTAATTAACAAAAAATGGAGGATGTTTTATCTGGTTTTTTTACGTCATTACCAACAGCGACAAAATGAAAATTTTATTTAACGTATTAGTTCTCGTTTTCTGTTTCCATCATGTTTTCTGTCGTACTCAATAGCAACAAACAAGATAAAATCAACAGTTATTAGAGTCTAACTTTTTTAATCAATTTCTACATATAATAAAGTTCTAGTTTCATCTTTAGTATAATTTTGTTTTGTCTAACACAGAGAGTGTGGATGTGAGATGTAAGTGTTGGTATAGATGCCGATATGCTGGATGTCGGTATCAGTCTTTTCGAAATCTACACTGAGATCGCACACCTAAATCAACAGTCGCACTGACATCTACATGTGTCCATATTCATATCCATCCTCTCAAGAATGTCTGAAAGAGAACGAGATGAACACTTTCATTTGGTACGATAGGTGATTTTTTCATTTATGTCAGCCTGATTCATTATACGGCGAAGAAGACTTCATGTCGTATCTCGTGGGAAGAAATAGAACAAACGATAGAAGCTATGTTGGAAAGAACCTAATGATATAAACTAGGTATTCTGAATGAATCATTGTAAAAGACTCATTACGTGTTTTTTAGTTCTTATCACAGTTTGTTCTGAGTGTGAGTGTGGGCGTATCTAAAAAGAATACCCACATCCACACCCACCTTGTGACTGAGAAGTAAAAAATGAAAAAAAAAGAAATTAGCTTGTTGTAATAAATCTTTTTTCAGAAGTAAAAAACGTTGACTTACTCGCCATTGCCTGTTCTGAAAGAGCAAAAAGAAAACGAGCAGATGTTTTTGATCTCATCATCCATAATAATAAGTACACTTAATAAAGTAAAATGATTGCAGAATAGATAACGAAGAGCGATGTTTCACTGGTTGATGATACTCAAGTAAATATTCATTTCACAGTTTTGTATTTCGTCTCGTTGTTTTCTTAAAGTTTTCCAGGTATAGAGTGATAGATATTTAAATTATTTATCCAAAATTCTTCATTTGATTAGCTCTACTATTCAGTCAATCGTGTAATAAATTGTCCCAATATGAAAAATGTTCGTCAAATCCCGCTTGTGGTTGTTTTCATGCAACTGATGGAAATGTTTTTTGCGACTTTATCGATGTAGCATGTTCAAAATTTGTATCTTGTTTAAGCGATAATCGCACATGTTTTCAACCGAATACTGTTTGTGTACAACATCCACGATGTCATGCACGTCCTGTTTGTTATCCACGACAAATAACTCAGATATGCCCACCACTTTCAACAATGACAACACGTAGGAATATTCAATTGTAGAAAACAGCATACATGCATGAATGGTTCTCAGTGACTTTCACGGAGAAAATAATAGTGAAACATAGTCATTTTGAAAGATGGCAGCGATTATTGATTAATAATGAGAAATCTCTGATTTTATTCCAGGATTCATGATCATTAGTTTTTTGTTAGCGAACTTTTACATGTTAAAGCAACATTCACTATTGGAAGCATCAGATCCGAGAGTTTAGAATATGTTCCAGCAGTTATTTGAAACAGAGGGATAAGGTATCAGTCATAGACATCGTCGTTATATTCCAGAAAAATAACACGACTTATCGAGTTTTCTAGCTTTGTCAGAACTAAAATAAGATTTTAATAAAGCCCTGAAGTCAAGAGAAGCAAGCGATTTGAAACTGTTTCATCCTTTTCTCGAAATGGATTCCTTAGTGTTTTGGTGCCACATGTGTCTCGGGCATTTAACACGCCAGAAAGGTCGACAAAATTTTTAAGTTAAGGGACCGTTGAGCTAGAAGTCAACAAATAAAATTTTGAGAATCTTTGCTCTGTCAAAAGTCGACCGACATGTGCAGTTTTAGCTATATTGACTGTTTAAGGACGAAAACAGATGCGTTAACAGGGCGCTTTGATGATTCATTTTTATAAATTGCTTCGTAGGCGTATCAGAATTCAATATATGTGTGAAAATTCATAGGCAGATTCTTTCACTTGAAATTTTTGCAGGTACTTGTACAGCTTATTGATTGTGATTTTAGTCATAAAGACTGAAATGAGAGTAAAATCTCTTTGACACGTGTTCAGAGTATACTGAGTATATTCGGAACACAAAAAGACAATTAAAGAAAATCTAATTGTATATTTTCTAGCATCCATTTGCTCACAAGCAAAATGGTCTTCGAATGGAATAACTGTTGCAGGTGGGAATGGATTAGGTGATGATTTAAATCAACTTCAATTTCCAGTCAGCATCGTTATCGATCATGGCGATGGTTCGATCTATATATCTGATGAATATAATTCTCGTGTTATGAAATGGATGCCTGATGCAAAGAGTGGTATTGTAGTTGCTGGTGGCAATGGACGTGGAAATGAAAGTAATATGCTTAATACTGCATCGCAAATACTTCTCGATAAAAAAGATGGAAGTTTATTAATTTGTGATCAAGTTAATCAACGTGTCCAACGTTGGCGAAAGAATTCAAACAATGGAGAAACTATTCTGTCTAATATTCCATGTGTTGGGTTAGCCATGGATAGTGAAGGATCGTTTTATGCCACAGAATGGGATAGTCATCGTATAACAAAATGGTTTCTGAATGATACAAAAGGTCAAATAATTGCTGGAGGCAATGGACCAGGTTCTGGACTCGATCAATTTGATCATCCATCTTATTTATTCATTGATCAAGATCAAACATTATTCATTGCTGATCAATGGAATAATCGTATTATAAAATGGTTAAAAAATGCAAAACAAGGCATTGTTGTAGCCGGTGGTAATGATGAAGGTTCAAATATGAATCAATTAATATTTCCTACGTCGGTCATCGTTGATCAAATTGGCACACTGTATATAACAGATACTAACAATAATCGTCTACAACGTTGGTTCAAAGATGACATATCAGCCAGTGCAACTATTGCTGGAGGACGTGATGAAGGACCTGAATCGAATCAATTATCCTTCCCTTACGATGTTGCATTTGATCGACACGGAAATTTATTTGTTGTTGATCATTACAATCATCGTGTTCAAATGTTTCAAATTGATACATCCGATTGTTAGAGATCTAACACGTAACATTTTGAAATTGGATTCAAATAAAAATTATATTGTTTTTTTTTTATCAGCTAACATATCTGTAGTATATGTAGTTATACAACTCTTTTTGAATAGCTCAAGGGTGGATGTGTATGAAAGGAGAATCCATATCCACTTACACCCACACTCACACCCTTATTCTGCATAAAGAAAGTGTTCTCATGACTAATTACTTAATGGTTCTGTTTCTTTTCTACCTATCGTTTATTATCGATTCTTACGGTAAGAAGGTTTCTATTTTGAGGAATTCGACAGCGGAATAGGATTTGTAACCATTGAAACATTAGTGTCATATTCTTTACCAAGTAAGAAAGAAACAGTTGCTCAAAGAAGCCGAAGTTTTCAATGGCGTTGTTAAATAGCTAATGGCTTAGATCTTGCTTGAATTGGTCTCTAGCGTAGGTTATTGGTAAAAATTTTGAGTTTCTTATGCTGTTATAGACCACGCTCAGAAACAGACAGAAAGTGATGCGATGGCAAACTTCGAATCATTGAAGTCAGAACTTCATACATTATTGCAAAGCATCATGTTCAAAAAAAATCAGTGAAAATTGATGTCAGTCTAATGAAACATGAATCAGAACGTCATGCATGCATGCATTAGTTAGTGTAATTACTTTAAATATGTTAATCAATATTAATTTGTGAGTTTATTCAAATGTTTGTTTCAGTTATTTATGTACATAGAAGAGCATGACAAAAAACTTGCTTCCTTTTAAAAAATGGTATTATGAAAAGTGTATCATCAAACAATCAAGCTTCGTAAGTTATTTTTAAGTAAGGCAGAGCTTGTGCGTATCGATAGGCAATATATTCTGTATATTGGAAGGCTGATCCACGAACTGAATGATAATTTTTCGGTGCGAAAGTTAGTTGATTATTGGCGACAGCCTGGATGAATTCTTTGCCTAAGATGACCTTATTATAAAACATCACTCCGGATTGAGTGCTTTGAAATGCAGCTGTGTATTTGTGAGATTTTTGAGGATTATCAGCAAAATAAGCGCCATGACCTAAAGAATGTCATCATACAAAATAATCAAGGGAAGCGCACTATGCTATTCCATTCTAATTTATCAACACTTAGCAATGTATGTTAATATTTCATTTCAATGGTAACGATTTTTTTATGATTCTTTTGAGAAGGGCAGCTGCTATTCCTATTCCGTCTTACTAACATCATATTGCAGTACAATAAAATTGATCGACCAAAATGCAAAACTGTTTCAATCAGTATCGATAAAAATTTAGAAAATAGTCAGGAAGAATGCATACTACAAGATGACCAAGCAAATGTTGAAGCTTGTGCAGTTAAGCTATGAATAAGAATTCCTGATATAATTGGTGATGTTTTTCTCGATTCATCTCTAAGAAGATATTGAGCAAATGCTGAAGAGAGATACACACACACACTCTTGCTGACATTTATGATACATGTGCATAGTTTCACATATGCACTCTGTCTATCTTCAGTACTAATCGTCGGCAGTAGAAAAATATAATGAATTGGTTCCGTAAAACACTTGGTAAATCTAGCCATCGTTGTTGGTAAAGATAAAAACAACAGAGAAGACACAGAAAGTAGTGTTTTCATGTCTGTAAGTAAAACAAAACTCATTGAACCACCCCGGTTGACAAATCTAAAAACACCATGAGTAATAGTACTATCTTTCTCTTTGCCATGGAATATACTTTGATTATTATACTACATACATAAGTTGAGCTACATCTATTTGGTGGATACTTAATTTTTGATGAATGAATAGCAAAGAAAAATGCATATTTATTTATTTTTGCTGCACACAAAACATGCACTATCAATCATTTTTCATTGAATTGATTTCTAGAATATGGACCTTTGCATTACCGGTCATCATTGCACATATTTTGCTTGCAATGGTGATCCAAGTGAGATCGGAAGTGTACCTGTAGGTACCTTTTTAGGAACCAAGCTACTTGTACTTGTATTAAAACCATTTAGTCGAAAGTTGCCACCCATGGACATGCTCTAAATTAGATTCTCATTGAACGATACAAATATTATATTTCAAAAATATTTACATTAGTAAAAATATGTGAGCGATAACGATAAACATTTGGCATTGTGTGAACTTGAGGTTTGTAACCACCGTATTCTTGATTTGATGTTCGATAGAATGGATGTGGTTCAACCTTTTTGTAGCCTTGCCATAAATCTATTAGAGATAAAATAAATAAGGATTCATGGTGGAGAATCTTGTGAAAGTAATCATACCAGGTCGATCGAATCGTTCAGGAATATCAAATGTTCTATAGTAATTACTTGTTCTGCGGTCGTTTATATCCAGTCCATTTCGATGAACTACTCCGTATGGTTGTAAATATGTAGTACTCAAGTAAGTAGGAACATTATTTGATTGATAGAGAATGGAACCGTCAGGTCCAACTTCCGAATATTTTGGGAGAGGTGCATTGCGACCATGTTGACGATACGAATCGAACATTTGAAGATAAATAATAAAAAAATGGAGAATTATACTCTACAATTAAAATAATTGACTTAACAGTTTCGCATTTGACTACTTTAAATTTTAAGCTGTACTCTTCTTAAATAAACTCATTGATTTTGAGAAACTCATATGGCAAATATAGTTTCTAACTGCCAAGACTAATGAAACATATTTACTTTTGTCTTGCATTGTGAATAAATGTTAGATAAAAAAAATGTCGACATCTAAGTTAGTTACGAATAATCCAATCGTATAAACGCTCAACTACAACCATCGTTTTTTCAAAGGTCGATGATAGTTATACATACATTGACTAGCGAGATTTGAGTTGCTATGAAAGAATTTTGTCAACATGTTTCATCTGTGAATATATTTCAATTAAATATAAGTCACAATAGAAAGCAACAGTGTAGTCATGAAGCAAGAAACATTTTCTTACCTTTGTGCCTCGTGTTCTTCTCAAAAGAGTGCAACTAATCACATTTTATAATGTTTACAAGACGACAGCACACTGTATTGTACATCAATTATGTTGCGATCACAATCCTATTTCAATCAATCACTGATCAAACATGACTACAATTCAATAGAGAAAGTAGTTGATTTTTAAAATTGATTTTATTATTCGAAACTGATCAATTGTCTAATGTAATGATGAAACAAAGAAAAGACTTTATCTGAGAGATCAAATCTGAATGTTTCGATTTTTATAATGCACTTTTAGTTTGAAATATCGCTGTAAGTAAGTTTGCTGCAGACATCATTTTCGTTACTAAAAAACTAACGCCAATTCATCATATATTGAATATTAAAATGAATTAGCAGTGCAATATTTTCAAACATTTACTTCGCTCTTCCTATTTAACAGAATTTAAACGATAATGAATGACTAAAGTTAATGCAAATGATTCATTCAACACTCAAGTCATATTAGTTATGCATATAAATAAATAAATGATGCAATGCAGGTATCATTCTTTTTAAATACGCCTTAGAATATTTCATTTGTCAGTTGTTACATTGATTTTAGAAGTTGTCAGTATCGATTAATTAGCTTTTGCTTTTCTATGTATAAGGAATGCGTATGAATGGAAGTGGTAAATAATAGAAAACTGACATCTACACATACAACCATATTATTAAATGAAAATTAACGGATAGACTGATTAGAAGTGATGGTAAGCAAGTATAGAACGATCCATCTTAAAGAATTCAGAGATCAACTCATTGTTTTTGAGGAACAAATAGATCGGTTTTGTATTTAGGGTGTGGGTGTGGATGTGTGAGTATGGAATATGAATATTCTCTTAACTCAGACGCACACCCACACCCAACCAATAATAATTGTTCTTTTTGTTGGCAACAATATTCATCATGTCTGGAGACCTATCTGGATTTAAATTTTCAGACTAATCCATCGAGTATTTCACTAAAAAATTCCCGAAATATAAGGTCAGAACTGTTAAAAAAGCTAATAGATAAATGTCTTGACTCTTTAAGGAGCAAAAATGAAAACCGGCTGAGCAGTCTTATATACTAGAAGATAGAGCGAGCGACGCTCTACAAAACCTAGTATAATACCCTTCACCCAAATTCGGAAGAGATTTTTTATTCGGAGACAAAGTTTCCGTAGCAGTGAAATTATTGAGCTTCCATTAAAAGTTTCACTTTTGGAAGCTGAACAACTTGGCTTATATGTGGTTCGATAGAGCTGAACGCTTGCTATCGGAATATATATGGAATGTTTTCTTTTGATCCTAAAATTAAAAAGAAAATCTTCGCGCAAAAAACAGAACTAGGGTGTGGATGGGTGTGGGTATCGGTGAATGTGTGTGTGGTTCTTTTATCTCATTCACACCCAACCACACCCAGATGTGAAACCTGACCTTCGATTCGGAATCCTGATCATGAATAACCTATAGCAAAGTTTCATCAAAAGACCCATAAAAGTTAAAACAAAAAAGCTCATTTCTGATGTTTTTCTTGACCTTGACACATACACATACTTACAAACGCATTTTATTCTCTAGAAGCCTCCCTATAGTCGAGGGAATAGAGTGACTACACTTGTTCGACACATTTTCATAAGATGTTGATATCAGCAACAATAGAATGACTGATCACTGTTTATCTTCGATCAATATCTGATAATATATTGACAATATTGTGATATACACTTTTTCTTGTGATTAATTAGTATGTATCCAAAATCCAAACGAAGATATGCAAGAACTCAGTATCAGACCAATCTTCTGCTCAGAGCTTTATAGCTAATGCTGAATATAGAGATGACATTGGAACTATTTTATCTTTCTCTAAACAGTAGGCATACTGCACGATTGCCTAGTGGTAGAAATTTTGTTTCTGCTTATTTTACATCTACCTTTTAGAAGATTTATAGGTCATAACTTTGCTGTAGTACTTAGTTGCTCTACATTGTTGTAAAGAAATTCGTTTTACTTGATTGATTAACTTAAAAGTTTTATTTATAACTGCTCTATTATTTTAATATATTTTCTTTCCTAGTTAAATAAACATAAATGAAATGCATTGCGAATGAAGACTAGTACTCACTCGAATAGAAATGCTAGGTTCCTAAAATTGATTATTACAGTGATTTTGTTTTGACGATAACATATAAGAGCAAGATAAAACATTAAAAAATTGGAGATTGCTTATTCGCAGGTAAATTTCTATCAGTATTATGAAGGATATTTGAGTTTTAGCTCCATGTGTAACAGAATATTTTGAATTTTCGATGAGAACATTTCATACACTCTGAATAAGAATACTCCGTTAAGGAGAAAAATTCAATTTTAATTTTTTCATCATATTTCAATGAAAGTGTATACAACTGTGTGGTATCGTATTATTCTTTTTTCCTAATGTATCCTACCCTCTTTATCAACGCTTTAAGGTATCACAAATAAATAATCTAGGAAAAAAAGATTTCTGTGATATTCTAGAAAGAAAAAAAATAATATATGGGAGCGTATGGTTGCTCTTTTCTATTTAAAAAGTCAAAGCATGATTGTTCCACTCACTCCATTCTGCTAAACATGCATTCTATAATGACTTTGCATGGTGTGAAGAATCGTTATAGTAATGAGTTTTAAAGTTTTTTTTCTTTTTAAATAGACCCATCCTATACGCATTGTTAGTGTCTTGTTAAAATAGAGAGAAAGCATTACTGGTAGTTTATCGAAACTTTATCAGCAACGTTCGGTTCCTCAAACGATACGTTTCTTTATTCATTTGTTTTTTCTATAAAACTTTGTTCATCCCGAGTAAAATTTGAACGACACTATTGATCTCTGACTTTCATTAACCGTATGTGTTTTTTATATTGTCACGATCTTCGAAACTTGACTCAAGGACTTTGATTTTAGAATTTTAAAGAAATTGTCGAGAAACTTGAGATTTATTGATGAGTAACTTTTAATAGTGACTAGCAAAGAGCTTATCCCTCTTAAATTAGATGAAATCAAAAATTTCGTTTGAATGTATCACTGTCAAGGGGAATCCGAAGCTGCATTTTGCGAAACTCATTCAATATGTGCCCATGATGTATAGTAATTGAATATTCCTGTATATCATCGTAGGAAAATTTTCCAAAGCAGAACATGTTATGAGTAGTTTAAATTTATATGAGCTACAATCGCTGATAGATTGTTCATATCGTGCATTACTGATCAATAAATCTCAGGTTTAAAAATTATGACAGCATTAAAAATGCGTGCAATTAATAAAAGTCAGAAATTATTTCGTCATTCAGACATTACTTGTAATGAACAAATTTTAGATGAAAATCTGGAGGAAGAAACATATCGTTTGAGGTAACGAGTTTCGCTGAAAGTGTTTCGATAAATTACCGACGAGGGGTTACGATAACGATGCTTTGCACAATGGAAACTCATTATAGAATGTTTGTTTAACAAAATAGATTGAGTAGAACAATGACACTTTGACTGCCAAAATAGAAATAAGTAATTGTGCATCCGTGTATTGTATTTGTTTCTTTTTAGAATAGTGCAGAAATTTGTTGCGATGCTATCATTAGTGAAATCATACCTCTATTTTCTCAATATTTTTTCATACTCTAAAACAGTGAACAATACTTATGAAGTGGAAAACGAACGAATTTCAACTCGTATCTTCATTCTCATCATGATATTAGCCACTGTGATTCTGTTTACTTATACGGCTCAAGTGCGCATTGCACGAAATATTGTTGTTCGACAACCATCATATGAAAAGCTTCTATTCCTTTCGGCACACTATTCGCAGACACTTCGTTGTTCATGTAATAATATGGTTGTTCAACAAAATACGCTTATTACAATTGAGCCTCAATTTCATCAGCTAAGTTCATCAGACTTCGTTTCTGAAAACTAGCTCGATTATATCAACTCTGTTTCAGGATATCGTGTATCGAATGATTTTAGCTATATGGATGGTTTGTTCTTTTAAACTCTTCGCTCTTTTTGTCGCCTGACAACTGCAATGATAAGTAATGCTATAAGAACATTTAATGAAACATATTTTATTACATCCGATGCTCCCGATGAAAATTCTTTCAATCATTCGGTAGATGCACTCATTCAAACTTTTCAATCAGAGACCAAACTTACTTTTTATCAATTCTTTGGTCTAAATGAGTTTTCTATGGAAATCAATACGCTTCTATCTTCTGTATTTAGTAACGTCGAGATAAAAATTAATTTAACAATACAAGACATAAAATTTCGAGATCGTTCTTATATGAATGATACCTGCACTTGTGATGCGTCGTCACTCTGTATTACATCATTGACTATTAAAGTTCATGGAGTCAACTTTACTAATTCAACATCTTTCACAATACCAGGCCTCTTCACTGGTTGCTTCTTTCTAGCAGGCATGCGCCAATCAACACTTGAATGTTTTTATTCTGAATCATGTATTGCGATCATTGAAGAATATCTACAAGCCCTGACACCACCAAACAAGCTTCC